GCAGTGTGTGTATGGGGATAGTGTTTGTGGTGCAGTGTGTGTATGGGGACAGTGTTTGTGGGTGTGCAGTTTGTGTATGGTGACAGTGTTTGTGGGGCAGTGTGTGTATGGGGACAGTGTTTGTGGGTGTGCAGTGTGTGTATGGGGACAGTGTTTGTGGGTGTGCAGTGTGTGTATGGGGACAGCGTTTGTGGGTGTACAGTGTGTGTATGGGGGCCAGTGTGTGTATGGGGGCAGTGTTTGTATGGGGGGCAGAGTTTGTATGGGGACAGTGTTTGTGGGGCAGTGTGTGTATGGGTGTGCAGTTTGTGTATGGGGACAGTGTTTGTGGGGCAGTGTGTGTATGGGGACAGTGTTTGTGGGTGTGCAGTGTGTGTATGGGGACAGTGTTTGTGGGGTAGTGTGTGTATGGGGACAGTGTTTGTGGGTGTGCAGTGTGTGTATGGGGACAGTGTATGGGGGCAGTGTGTGTATAGGGACAGTGGGGCAGTGCAGTGTGTGTATGGGGACAGTGTTTGTGGGGCAGTGTGTGTATGGGTGTGCAGTTTGTGTATGGGGATAGTGGTTGTGGGGCAGTGTGTGTATGGGCACAGTGTTTGTGGGTGTGCAGTGTTTGTATGGGGATAGTGTGTGTATGGGGACAGTGTTTGTGGGGCAGTGCAGTGTGTGTATAGGGACAGTGTTTGTGGGACAGTGTATGTATGGGTGTGCAGTTTGTGTATGGGTATAGTGTTTGTGGGGCAGTGTGTGTATGGGGACAGTGTTTGTGGGGCAGTGTGTGTATGGGGACAGTGTTTATGGGTGTGCAGTGTGTGTATGGGGACAGTGTTTGTGGGTGTGCAGTGTGTTTATGGGGACAGTGTTTGTGGGGCAGTGTGTGTATGGGTGTGCAGTTTGTGTATGGGGATAGTGTTTGTGGGGCAGTGTGTGTATGGGGACAGTGTTTGTGGGTGTGCAGTGTGTGTATGGGGACAGTGTTTGTGGGGCAGTGTGTGTATGGGGGCAGTGTTTGTGTGTGTGCAGTGTGTGTATGGGGACAGTGTATGTGGGCAGTGTGTGTATGGGGACAGTGTTTGTGGGGCAGTGCAGTGTGTGTATGGGGACAGTGTTTGTGGGGCAGTGTGTGTATGGGTGTGCAGTTTGTGTATGGGGACAGTGTTTGTGGGGCATTGTGTGTATGGGGACAGTGTGGGTGTGCAGTGTGTGTATGGGGACAGTGTATGGGGAGCAGTGTGTGTATGGGGACAGTGTTTGTGGTGCAGTGTGTGGGGTACAGTGTGTGTATGGGGACAGTGTTTGTGGGGCAGTGTGTGTATGGGGACAGTGTTTGTGGGGCAGTGTGTGTATGGGGACAGTGTTTGTGGGGCAGTGTGTGTATGGGGGGCAGTGTGTGTATGGGGACAGTGTTTGTGGGGCAGTGTGTGTTTGGGGGGCAGTGTGTGTATGGGGACAGTGTTTGTGGGGCAGTGTGTGTATGGGTGGCAGTGTGTGTATGGGGAGAGTGTTTGTGGGGCAGAATATTTATTTTAAAAATGTATTATAAAAAAACCTCCTCCCCCCCCCATTACACATACTGCCCCACAAACACTATCCCCATACACACACACTGCCCCCCTGTAATGGGGCAGTGTGTGTAATGGGGGGGGGGAGGAGGCTTTTTAATAATAATTAATAATTTTTTAAAAAAAATTTAATAAAATAAATATGTCCCCCCTCCCTTCTTACCTTTATTGAGCAGGAGGGGGGACATTTCTCCGTCCCTGGTGGTCCCAGTGGTGATTCCCTGGTGGTCAGGTGGTCAGAGTGAACTCTAGCCCACGCTCCCGGGCTAGAGTTCACTCTCGCGAGATTTGGAGCGTTGCCGTGGTAACCGCGGCAACGCTTTAAATCCCGCGAGAGGAGGACCCGGAGGAGCTGCAGACTGAGCTCCGGGTCCTCTCTCTCACTCCCTCCCTCGCCGGCCGCCAGCACAGCGCCTGCGGACCGGGGAGGGAGAGCTCTGATCTCCCCTCCGGTCCGCAGGCACATTGCAGGGCTGGCACTTGGGCAATGCCAGCCCTGCGTTAGCCAGCAGGGGGGATCTCGGGGGGGCAATTGCCCCGTTGCCCCCCCCCTGGATCCGCCAATGGGTGCAGTGTCCATGTCCTCTTAACCCTGAAAGTAAAATGTAGTTTTTTGAGAAACTGCAATGTTTTTATTGCAGGGTTAAGTCCACCTCTAGTGGTCGTCAGTACAATTATAATATAATTGTTTCCATGACACTTACCAAGTAAAACCCAGTCACGTGACTGGGAACCCCCATAGAAATTAATGTGTCGCACTTGCCATGTTTCTCCTCCATGACATTGCAGGAGACAGGGAGATGGGGGGGGGGAGGGGGAGAATAGGTACAGGGACACTATAGTGCTAGAGATTCAGATTTGTATAATGCTATAGAGTTCCTTTATAAAAAAAAATATACCCCAAAACACGGAATTTACTTCTTCAACCATCTCCAACATTTTTTTTATTTTTTTTTAACAAATTGTCATCTTCTGGGTTTTGTCAAATACACAGTATTTATAGATAAGTTACACTCACTTGTGCATGCCTATGTTGAGCATGTTCTTGATAATTTCTTTAGTTTACATGGCCTCTCTATAAGCACTGTTGGTATAACTTACTGAGATCTACTAGTGGAGTGACCCCTGCAAGTTTTACACTCTTTGCACAATTAAATTATTAATATTTAGAAAGCACCAACATCTTCTGCAGCGCTGTACAATGGGTTCACAAAACATACAAATAAGTTCAACTCACAGGTTTGTCTTGTAGAGACAAGAGGTAGTGACGGCCCTGCTCCAATGAGCTTCCAATCAAATTGGAATAGCAA